GGGCACAAGATGTGGGGCATAATATTATGTTTGCTGACTGGGAATGGTTATGGACCACAGGTATGAAATTTACGGCCTGTAACGCCTTAAGAGAAAATATAATGAAAATGATATACAGGTGGTACTTAACCCCAGTCAAGCTAGCAAAAATTTATCATCTGCCTGATAATAAATGTTGGAAATGTAAAGAAAATGAAGGTACTTTCTTTCACCTTTGGTGGACGTGCCCAAAGATCAAGGCCTTCTGGGAAATGATATATAATGAACTAAAAAGGTATTGAAATATACTTTCTTGAAGAAACCAGAGGCTTTCCTCTTGGGCATGGTCGGCCAACTGGTGCGAAGGGAAGATAGGAATTTCTTTATGTATGCGACAGCAGCAGCAAGAATACTCATTGGGAAATACTGGAAGACACAAGAATTGCCCACCCGAGAAGAATGGCAGAGAAAAGTGATAGACTATATGGAACTGGCTGAAATGACCGGCAGAATTCGAGATCAAGAAGAGGGGTCGATGGAAGAAGATTGGAAAAAATTCAAAACATATCTTCAGAAATACTGTAATATAAAAGAATGTTAGAAAAGGTTGGAGAAGAATGTTAGATCGTATTGGCAGACAGAGTATAATGGAATAAGTAAATATGAAGTGTAAAATAAAAGATAGAGGAGAATTAAATATTTTTGAATGTTAAAATAAGTAAATGAAAAGAAGGTTAGAAGGGTTTGCTGGAGATACGATTCAAATTAGAATACATTGCAGAGAAGTGAGAGGAAGTCACGGAAATAAGTAAATGGGAAAACGGTTCTAATGGTTTAATTTGATTTTTTGTTATTTTTGTATTGTGATTTTTTGTCTTTTGTATTTTTTTTCTGTATCGTGTGTTGTTCTTTTTCTGTAGGATGTATGTGATTTGTTTTTCTTTTTCTGCTTTTTTCTTTTTATGTAATCTTAAAATTGGAATAAATATTCTTTAAAAAAAATAAATAAAGTTTTTCCATAGCAAAGTGATCACTCAAATGCTCTACGTTGTTGAAATTTGGAAATATGACCAGTTTCATTAAAGCTTGGAAATTGTGCATAATATTTTGTTCCTGAAAACTGTACTCCCTCCCATCAGGAATTTCCACAGAATCTGGTTGGTAATCAGTTAAGTGTGAGCTCATTTAAATTCCATCAGACAAAGTACAACTCTGTCAACTGATGGTCTTCCTGCATTGTGCTATATGGAATGGGTAACAACAAATTTTGGAAATCAGTTCTTCAAAATCTTTTAGATAGTTATTATTTCCCAGAGGTGAATGTTGCCTTGGGCCTGGACAAGAGACAATTTAAGAGGCTGCTTTAAAAAGAAGAAGAAGACGACTCCAGAAGGTACTTGCATCAAATTAGGAACTCCAAATATTCTCTGTGATGTTCTCTTTTGAAAACAGAGATTTTAGAGCTAGTTATCTAATGAAACTCATGCCTGTTTCCTTACGAAATGCTTTTATTGAGCTGTGATTTCAAGTGATGCCAACTACAGTCCTCAACAGTCACTATAACAAGAATGCTTGCAGATTCTGTATTTGTGGCCAATATCAGGTGTAAGACATTATTCACTGTCTGTTAATCTGTCCTTTGTATAGTGATCCAAAAGAGATTTTCGAAACCTTTGTTGACATATGGAAGCAGGAATACCTTCCTAGAAACAGTTGTTTCTTTTGAGTGACACTAACAGCTTTGTGACGCATAAAGCAGCTCTTTTTGAGAGAGTTTAGAGAGCGTTAGATAGTATTACTAGTAGATAGTAGATATATTACTATAAATACAAACATAGTACAGTGGACGCTCGGGTTGCGAACGTGATCCGTGCGGGATACACGTTCGCAACTTGCAGCACTCGCAACCCACGCGGGTTGCAATTCAGTGCTTCTGCGCATGTGCAAAGCGCGATTTAGCACTTATGTGCATGCGCGACCCCCGAAACCCGTAAGTAACCCATTCCTGTACTTCCGGGTTTCGGCGGGTCCGTAACTTGAAAAAACGCAACCTGAAGCATCTGTAACCCGAGGTATGACTGTAATAATATAACATCAATAATATAAAAAGAAGAAAAGAAGAAAAATATAAAAGAAGAAAAATCAGACGTGTAGTGAGCTAACTCTGATTTAACCTGAGACTCTCCAAAACCATATTCTGCATTATAATTGTTATAATTGTCATGTAGTGGTACCTGCCCTCTGGAACGCCTTCCCACCAGATGTCAAAGAGAAAAACAACTACCAGACTTCTAGAAGACATCTGAAGGCAGCCCTGTTTAGGGAAGTTTTTAATGTTTAATAGACTATTGTATTTTAATATTTTGTTGGAAGCCGCCCAGAGTGGCTGGGGAAACACAGCCAGATGGGTGGGGTATAAATAATAAATTATTATTATTATTACCTTTTGCTAGCACAATAAACCCACTGAATGACTGAAATAGCATCCTTTTCTCCTGATAATGCAGTACACCAGGTCAATGGTGAATGGATAGGCAACAGCATCAGCCTTGATGTCTTTCTGTGACATCTGTATGCCCTAGTAGTCTATGCCTCTGCCAGCGCCAGAAAGGCTCAGATATTATTGTGCTGGGGGACAGAGCCAGTACATTGCACATAATCCTATGCATTTTTACTTGAGACTGAGGTCTCTGGAATCTACTTGTAGTAAATAGTCAAGTATTTGGGATGTTAGCTGTTCCGGCATTCCCTACTCTCAAATGTCATCAAGAATTATACACGGGAGTGAGGGAAGCAGCGGACTGGCTGAAAAGCTATGCTAGCTCTGACAACACAGGGTTAGAAGCCATGGGTTGTCTCCAGCAAAGTCAGAAATAAATTTACCAGCCACAGTAATCTCTTGTCAGCCTTCCCAGGCTTCATTGGTGAGGAGCACCCTAACACGAACCCCAGTGATTAGGTGGAAGCTATCACTGAATGCATCTCTTCCACCATAGTCAACAAGAACCCCCCCAAAATAGCATGTTTGAGGGATGACAAAGTGTGGGTCAGAACAGGCACTGGATTCACTGACCATAGTTTAGGATTGCAACCTAAGTTAATCGTGCCCATTTCTTTCATTGACTCTGCTCCGAGTAGGACTGGTATTGGATACAATCCAAGGATTTGATTCTTCCACCCATACCAAAACTATAAGGCCCCAAATCTGTGTATTCAAACTTTCCAGATCTTGAAATAAAATAAAATCTAGTATTTGGTGGAAGAACTCAGTGCAGAAACTGATTTTCACCAAAGTTGTGCAGCTAAAGGAAGAAAAATATCATGTAGTCTTGACAGCAAAATAACCGAACCAAGTTTGTTTTTTGAGGAAAAAAATGGTTGGTTGGCAGTCCTATGTATTTCTAACTTGTTCCTGCAGCTGGAAGGATCTCTTGACATGTACATCTATGCTCAAGGCCAATTTTGTAACTGATGTCTAAAAACACTTGTTCCTTTTATAAGGGAAGAGTCAGTAGTTTCTGAGCAATAGCTCCGAACAAAACATGAAGGGAAATCCCTGGGCAAATTAAGTAGCCTTTTGTGTGTATGTCAACAAGGAAGCACTTCCAGACATTGCAAAGGCAACACCAGAGCAATTCCATGTTTTGACAACTAAGTTGTTAAACATGGAGCTGCTCTGTTACTCGCTGTTTGTGGCTTTGTTGGTTTGCTGCATTAATAGAATAGGGAGTGCTCTACCTAGTCGTTATAAACTGCACACATTGTGCTAGAAAAGGCACTAGAGAAAGCTGGCTACTCCTTTCAAAGTAGGCTTTGTGGGCTAATCCTAACATTCAGATCATACTGTGAATCAGTGCTTTTCCCCAAGAAAAATAGGTGCCGGAACTCACCGTGAAGTTCTAGTTACAGGTAGGTAGCCGTGTTGGTCTGCCGCAGTCAAAACAAAATAAAAAACTTTCTTCCAGTAGCATGCACACAAAAGCTCATACCAATAACAAACTTAGTTGGTCTCTTAGGTACTACTGGAAGGAATTTTTTTATTTTGTGTCACCGTGAAGTTGTTACAGTAAGTCATCGGGTGACTTGGGGCAGCCCTGAACACATGCCAGTTTGACAACAGCCATGTTCACCACTTGTGGAGGTGCTAAAGACTACGGACACTGAGGTCCAGCACTGAGGGCCTTCTGGCGGTTCCCTCACTGTGAGAAGCCAAGCTAAAGGGAACCAGGCAGAGGGCCTTCTCAGTAGTGGCATCCGCCCTGTGGAATGCCCTCCCACCAGATGTCAAAGAGAAGAACAACTACCAGACTTTTAGAAGACATCTGAAGGCAGCCCTGTTTAGAGAAGCTTTTAATGTTTGATGCATTACTGTATTTTAATATTTTGTTGGAAGCCGTCCAGAGTGGCTGGGGAAGCCCAGCCTGATGGGCGGGGTATAAATAAATAAATTATTATTATTATTATTATTATTATTATTATTATTATTACAGCAAACTGTCTCCCTAGATAGTTTGGGGGTCACCCCTGGTTCTGGTGAAGGTCAAATAAATGTGTCCCCACCTCCTTCATTCTCTTAGTTTCAGGAGGATGGCTAGGGCAGCTCAAAAGGGTCCTCATGCAAACACCCACATGTTCAAGAGTAGAGACCTAGCTGGAATGCTTAAAGTCCACAGCTGCTACACAGAAGACAGAATGAAGAAAGGAAAAAACAAATTGGCCCTGCCCAATAGCTTGGCCCATTGCAGCTAGGAGTGGCTAGGAAATAGGTGGAGTCATAGATCTAAAAAAGGGTAGACTCACTCATGCTGGCCAGCTTCTGTTCTGACTTGAAATGTTCGTTTGGGGCTTCTCAGAAGTGCGTAAAGGCAGTAAGCGGGCAGGAGGACCGACGGCCTGCAATGGCATCTACCTGTGAGTACTGGAGCTGCAGTCTGGCACACTCGGGCTGGGGGAAAAAAATCACTGCTTTGAATAATCATATGAACTCATCTTCTGAAATTCTGCGAGAAACGAGCTGTAATGTTGCCATTCGAGGCAGAATGAATGCAAGCAAAAAAAATAAAAAAAAAATATCTCCTTGCATTCATTCTGCCTTGAATGGCAACAGGAAATCTTGTTTCTCGCAGAATTTTAAAAGATGAGTGAAAAAAGGTCTATGCAAAGGTGATCAACTAAAAGCTTGCAGCTGGCAGGGGTCTGGCTAATAGAGTGAGGAAGCATTAGGTAGAGAAGATATAATGGATAAATGTTAGTGGCTGCCAAATGTTTTGTTACCTATCTTCCTTTGTATAACAATGCTGTTTTATACCTGCTGGGTTAGTGCTTTATGGAAATCTTACAAAAGAGCCTGGAGGGGGTGGAAATCAAGAGATGGAACAAGTACAGCCAAACTGCTTTGCTCAGCTGGAGAAGAAGGAATTTTTTAAAAAAATAAAAAATCTGTTTTTTGGTGTTGTTGTCATTGTCACTAAGCTTGGTCGCCTTTAAGTGCTCAGTACACAGCTGTCGATTTGCACTGACTGCCATCACTGCAGCCCAAAGCATCAAGGTTTTTTCTCCCTGAGTATTGCTGCATTTTTGCCAAGCGGAAAAACAACAGCAGCGAACCATGCTGATTTGTACCTGTTCAGTAAAGGCCTTTCTTCTGTGAACCCAGAACTGAAACTTCAGGGCAAAGATTTTGTTTAAAAAGTTTGATAAAAACCCAGATGAACGTTTATTTTGTATTGTGCATGGTATATATTTTATACCATGCTTCATTACCAAAGCCTTGTGGCCACTAACAACCATATACAGTGGTACTTCTGGTTATGAATGGGATCCGTTCTGGAGGCCTGGCTTCATCCCGAAAACCTCGTAACTGGAGGCACCCTTCTGCGCATGCACGTGGCACGACTGAGCGCTTCTGTGCATGCGCGCAGAGTGCTTCTACACATGCGCGCACGGCGAAACCCAGAAGTATACACTTCCAGGTTTGCCGTGTTCGCAACCCAAAGTTTACGTATCCAGAGGGATATGTAAGCAGAGGTACAACTGTATATATGTCAGGGACTGGGCAAAGGTGGAATGGTGGAGACCGCCTCCCCAGCCTGACCCTTCCAGAGAAGAAGACAGCTCAGAATTACAACAGGGGTTTGAGGGAGAACACAGTTCAGAGGCAGATGAGAGTAAAAGTTGGGAAATAATGGGAGAGGAGGAAGAAGAAGCACCAGGGGAGAGACAGCTGACAGACTCAGTGTCTTTAGAAAGTATTCCAGACCCCCCCTTCCAGAACCCAGCGAGCCTTGAAAGTAGGAGAGCAGAGAGCTCAGAGGCAGAGGACACTTCTCAGCACCTGTAGTGATGATGCATGAAGAGAGAGGGAGGGGGTGGAGACTTACCCGGGGCAACACCATTATTCCAAGAGGCTGCATTTCCAAGCCTCTCTCTGTGAATATTGAATAAAAAGCAGTTGGTAAGAACTTTTCCTTGTCTTATCCTTTCCTGGCGACCTGCCGTGGGGTTGGTTCCTCGGCTGACTGACAATATAGCTCTGCTATAGATGTCCATTTTGTATAATTCTATTTCTTTTATTTTTTGTCATGTTTAGAAATACTTTTTTGACTAGCAGAAGCCATTAGTTGACTCCAGTCCCGAATTATTATATCAATAATAAGAAGAATATAAAATGCATAAAAAACAAACTACAGTGTTGGGTTGAAATAAACGACAGATGAGTAGGTAGGTGTCAAACGGGAGGCATCTCTGGAGCAAGTCTCGGAGAGTCCCTTTTATTGAATATTACAGCGTTTGCCACGTATATGCTTGTTGCTGATTGGTTAACATAAGTACAAAGCAAGGGTTGCATATAAGACATTAATCATCGATAGGTTAAAGGTTAGAGAAAGGAACGCGGAATTTACACAGGCATGATCTCCTTCTTATATGATTGATATGGCGCTACTAATGGACTGCACGTTCCAGGGTGGTACGAAAAGGAATGTACACAGAGGGATAAGTACAGATTGATATGGTGTGAACTCAAGGTGAACAGAATGTACCAGGGTGATGAGAGAATGTCTTAGCATCAGCACGGTTTGTGCAGCATGAGCAGAAGAAAAGCTTAGAGGCAAGACTTCCCATCATGCCACAGTCATGTGCAGAAGCAGAGCTTCCCTTCACTACAGGTTTAAAAAACAGCTAAAACAGGAGAAGTATTACCAGTATTATGTAAAAGCAGCTGAGACAGTAATTCTGGAGGAGAACAAAACCATAAGAGCAACCAGGGCTGAATCCACACGGAAATAAAAAAAACAATGTGCAGATGGGTGTTTTAAAAAAATAAAAAAATGGAAAGTATATATAGAATTTGCCATTAGCTCATCAGCACCATCTAGTGTCACATTTGTATAATGCACTTAAAACACAGCTGTATAGCTGAGTCTCAGGTGCCATTCATAGCTCCAGAGAACAAGATGAACTTTGCATGATGCCTAAAAGGTTAAAAGAAGGTACCTGGTGAGCATTGACTTCGGTGGAAGTTCCACAAGATGGGCATCAGTTCGACAGGTAGCTAACCACTGTATAGGGGACACCTGGAGAAGACATTCCAAAAAAGCTCTTCTCAAGCAGTCAAGTTCATATAGAAGAAAACAGTTCTTCAGCTACCTGGATCATTCATGGCTTTGAAGTACAGTGACCATGTGTCCTTTTTTGGAAAGGCATAACTGGCCACCCTGCTTTAGTCAGAACCAAGCTCTGTTAAATTCAAAGGAGCTTACTCCCAGGAAATTAACCACAGGATTACAACCATGCTGAGCTTGATAAACTGGGTATCAAGAGATACACTACTGCTCTTTGGGGTATGTGTAGTAATGGATCAACATAGCAATATAATTTGGAGGAGCTGTTTTTTTTGGAACACGGCTATGGATTTGTCTTGGGAGGGTGACAATGGTGGCTGTCACAATGAGCTCTTGTAAGCAGAGGTAGGATAGCCATTCATCGTGGATGCTTCAGTTGAGATTCCTGCATTGCGAGAGATTGAACTAGACGACCCTTGGAGTCCCTTCCAAGTCTACATTACTACGATTCTACATTTACTGTGGATCTGCCATTTGTCAGATTGCATCGTTATGGTTGGCCTGTTCTATGTGCAGTTGGTAGCTGTTATCCACAAGCAACATAGCAATTCATAACAAAGCTGCAAAGATGCTAATTATGTTATTGGGGTTAATGTCCCAGTTGCTACATTTATTCTACTTTGAACATTGTTAAGTATGTCACTGGATTGCTGCTGAGCAGGAACGAGATACTGACTAGCTTGTGTGAATGCGAGCAGCAGTGTCACGGTGACCATCTTAGCAGGGCTATAATTGCATGTCACTTTGTATTTGTCCGCAAATTATTTTTAAAATATTTTTTGCCAGAGTTCTTCTTATCTCATGCTGGTGTTTTTGTCGGATCACAAATGAACGGCTCAGGTTTCGAGATGAAAAGCTCTTTTCATCTATTTCCCCTGACAGCGAGTATACAGCTCCATTCTGTCGTCTCCAAATTAAATGTTTACTTGAGACAATTTTTTTAAAAAGTGTTTTGATTTCCTCTCATTTCCCCATTGAAACCCTAATCGTGCGGGCACAACCAGAACATCTATGCTCCTAATATTCCTCTTGTTAGAAGTGAAGTGATCCAACTGAAAGAAGCAGAAGAGGAGGAAACACAATTAATTTAGAATGGAAGAGATGTGCCAATGAATAGAAACGCCTTCTCTGCATAAGCTTATAGATACATTAAACATAAGAAAGAGTTTAGGTGCTCCTGCCAACTTGCAGGCATCTGGTTGGCCACAGAGAGAACAGGATACTGGACTAAGGTAAAGGTAAAGGGACCCCTGACCATTAGGTCCAGTCGTAACCAACTCTGGGGTTGCGGCGCTCATTTCACTTTATTGGCTGAGGGAGCCAGCGTACAGCTTCTGGATCATGTGGCCAGCATGACTAAGCCGCTTCTGGCGAACCAGAGCAGCGCACGGAAACGGCGTTTACCTTCCCGCCAGAGTGGTACCTATTTATCTACTTGCACTTTGATGTGCTTTCGAACTGCTAAGTTGGCAGGAGCAGGGACCGAGCACACCTGCTCCCCAGAGCCAACTTCCCTCCTTCCCTCTTCTGGCCTTTTATATCACATCTAACATTGTCTTCATCCATTTTGTATATTATTGTTCATCTTTCGTATTTGTCCATAGAGTGCCTACAGTCAAATAAATCCTCCTGTATATACAATTCTTATTGTCTGTCTATATTCATTTACAACTACCATCAGTTGTGGTTCGAGGACCCGACCCCCGCGATGTGAAATGAATACACAAGGACACGTGATATAAGGTTAATGGGCATGGAAAGGCCACAACTTTATTGATTACAGCAGTGAAAAGGTATTGGCTTAGGCATTGGATCTCTAAAACACGTGGGTTTATTCACCAGTAGGTGGAGCCTGTTGATGCTAATCCAACTATAGGCTCCCCCCTGATGTCACCGAGGGTCGTGCCATGGCCTCCCGCCAAGCAGGCATCGGACAGAACACACGACCGCCAGATTCCTTTAACGGAATACCCAAAAATTGAAGGCATAGGCGATGGCCACACCTAGCCCTTCGACACACCACAACACATTATTCCAATGCCTAACCTACCCACCAATACCACAAAAGTTGTGACGATTGCTACGAGGTAGGCGAAAAAAACAAAAAGCCTAATGCCAAATGGAAAAACTCCTACCAGGTCCCCTGGACAACCAGGGCGACCAACCTAAGGTCCATAGCAAGGCCAATGACCTAAGCCCTAACTCTAAGGGAGTGGAGGGTGGGTGACTCGCGACGAGACGACGGCAAAGAATGAGGCCAGGGAGAGGCTGGCACCGCAGCATAAGGCTGCTGAACACGCCCCCTCCGAGGCACCTGGTTGGATGCCTGCAGAGGGGGCATGGGCGCCAGCCAGGTGAGGTGGAGGCAGGGGGCAACCGCCCCCTGCTAGGGGCGGTGCTCGGGCTCCCGCCCACAACCACTCCCCTCTCTTCCAGGAAGGAGAGTCTTTACATTAATCACATTGTACAGTTTACTTTTTGTTATTTTCTTTATCCAGAAATTTTCTTTGTATTTCACATTATGAGGTTTATTTCAGTTCTACTGGTTTCACTATTTCACCTTATCCTTCCTATGTATGACACAAATTTTTCCCATTCCTTTTGAAATGTTTCATCGCCCTGTTGTTGGATTTTCCCCATTAATCTAGCTATTTCTGCACATTCCATTACCTTCTGTCACCATTCTTCTGCTGTTGGTACTTGCTGTTCTTTCCAAATCTTGTGACAAATCTCTAGCTGCGCCAATCGTTCGATTTCTTTAGTCTGTTCTTATGGCATAACATGCTCAAACCTGGGGAACCAGGGCAAATTTATAGCAATGTTGGAAACATACAGTACATGTTCCAGTGGCGTGATTTTTTTTGGTAGGGGAACAGTTAGGACCAGAGGCATCAGCTTTTGAGAGTGATGTTGGGCTGGGAAGGGTACTGATGTTGGGTGTGTGAGCATCACACCTCCCTCCATAGCTGGGCAGAAGCTTCCCGGGCTTTAGGAAGGAGGCGCCAGGCCTCTGACAGGAGGCTGGAGCTCTCCTGCCTCCTTACCAAAGCCAGGCAGGCTTTGGGAAAGTGGCAGAAGGGCCCTTGGACCCATCAGATCATTGTTCCTCCCACCCTAAGCCGAGCAGAAGCTTCTTGGTCTTTCGCAAGGAGGCACTAAGGGAACATTTAGGGGATTAGTCTAGTTGCCCTAGTCTGCTGACTGCAGGCCACTGTCACATTCTGTATTCAGAATTTGAGGAATTAATATAATGAATTGAGGAATTAATATAATTTCCAAGAAAGCTAAATGGGAGAAAACACACAAACAACGGAAGTATCTTGACAGTATTCTACTGTGACATACATTTTGGTCTTTGGAAGTACAGGACTGGAGGGCAACAGCCAGGGATGGAGAACTTTGTATGGTTCACATTTTAAAATGAACCAGCTTAATCCTCAGTTCCCAGACTTATATGCAGATCTCAGCACTGTCTATCTGCACTAGGCTTCTAATGGGTGCTGAGAGCTGTTAGAAGACTCCCCCTTATTCCCCTCACAGAACTACAATTCCCAGAGTTCCTTGAGAGAGGGATTGATGGGAATGAATGGAACTAGTGCTGCAGAATCAATTTCCACAAACACACTCCAATAGTTTTAAGGCACTTATTCTGTGTAAAGCGCCTGTCAAATGCACTCTCCTCTCTTGTCTGCTTTAAAATATTCATTATACATTGAAGAAAATGTTACATGACTCAAATGCTATGGTGGTATTCAAATCAAGGTAGATCTCATTCGGCTCAGCTTTCTGCATATACTTTTAACCTCAACGCCTTTCTATCGCTTCTGCACATGATTTATTAAGTTCTTGTATCATCACCTTCAAATAACTCCTGTGACCCTCCTGGGTGGCACAGCATCGATCACTTGTCAACAGAACTGCAGCTGTGTGCACAATGGTTCTTATTTGCCCTTATTACCAAAATATATTGCTGCCTACAGGGTTTTCTCATTATGAAAAATAAAGCCACTAGCATCTCCTTCCGCTGCTACTAATCTCAATGTTAAAGCATGGGTGGAAGTACCAAATGATAGCCCTTCTAGCAGTGACTCATAATTCGAGATGCCTTGCCTTGCTTCAAGGTAACATCCCACCATCATCTTCTTTTCTTCTTCTTCCTGGTGCTCTGACCTGAAGGCAAGGATAAAGACTGATGGTTAAATTCAAGCATTTACATATTGTAAATAATTGAAAAGGGGTTCTGTGATGCTAAAAGCTGAAAACTGCTCTACATCATCAAAGTGCTAACTTGAGAATTATCAGCATATGAAATAGCTGGATGCAGAAATAGACATGATGTTTATAATTCCCCTTTCACTGTTTGTTGCTTTTTCTGGATAGACATTCTTCCAGCATGATGCTGTTTTCATATAAGCTTAGATTTCTTCCTCATTCAGGTCTTAAACAGGAACATGGGTTTATTTCCTGCTACAGAGAAATTAACACAGGATAGCTATAAAGATTGCATTCTAGTTGTGACTTTCTGACTTCTAATGGGATGCAGAAATATTCCTGAGCTTTCCCTCCAATGTAAGTTATGTAAACAGTCATGCAACTCACATAACTTAAGTAAATTAATGGACAGCAAAACAAATAATGTTGTATCTGATGGCAACTGAATTGCAGTGGAATGGAAACAGTGCTCATTGTAGCAAAAGCAGTCCGGACAGAAATTGCTGCCTTCTTACATCCCCAGCGCCATGGCAATGTTTACAGTGCCTTCTAACTTTTTGTTGCTTTTTCTGCAATATCCTGACAGGGTTGGCCCTTTGCAATTCCCTTTAAGCTTGTTAGTAATGGTTGGGAAAAGTCTTTGTGGGAAATCCTGAAGTCAGTCACAGTTTTTCAGCAGTGCCTTTTGAAAACTGAAATGGTAGAAATACCACTCACCTCTCTTCTTTTTCCCCAAATGATATCTTTAAAAAGTGCTGTTTTATGTGATTCTCCGCATGGCAGAGATGAATCTTGGATTGAAACAAATGCACAGCATGCCCCCAAATCAGGAAGTAGGTAAGTCAAAATAAAGGGAAAACAAGAGAGGTAAGACTGAAGCACTCAAAGAGACAATTGTGTCTCTGCAGAGAAACTACCATGCCTTTGGGAAAGCAGAAGACTGTTTTGTTTGAACTCTTTGTTTGAGTGACAGAGTTGGAGGTGTGCATTTGCAAAAATTACCACAAAGGAGACTTGTAAATGTTAGAAGCCTCTTTGTCATGTCTGCAAGTCCAAACCAGATTTTGAAGGCTGAGCTAGTTGTTTCCCCTCTTTCCCCCTGTCTTCCTTCTTTTGCAGTTTGTAGTCACTAAAGGCAATTGCTTCCCACTGAGAAATGTTGCTTTTCTCTTGCAATGGAATGTAAGTTCATAGCTGATCCCAGTGGATGGTGCATTGAGCTTGGATTGAGGAAATTAAATCCTAGGCTTGCCATAGAGTTGTTAGGTGCTTGTAGGTGAATAAATCACACGTCATCTATTTTCCAGTTGTGACAGGGTGGATAAAAATGGTCAAGTTTTTAAAACCAAAACAATAGGTTTAATTGAATTATCTATTTTTATCCACCAGGAATACGATTAGATGGTTCCAGCTATACCGAATCATAGTTTATAAGTGCAGAATGAAGAAACAAAGAGGACTACTGCCTTAGGCAGTTTTGCTCATTACTGGTACAATCAAATAATAAAAATATAAACAGTTCTGAAACTCATATTCCATGGCCCAATTTATGTATGCAAGGGCTGCTGAGATGGAACCTTGAAATTCAAGCTATGCTAGTAAAACCACTCCTTATATTGCTTTAGCATTTTATTTGGCATAATGGAATTATCGAAACAAGCCAGGTATGTGCTCCACACGCAAAACTTACTGACTGCCAAGGCGTTCGGAGACAAAGAAGAATCTGATTCTCTCTAGAAAGGAAGAAAAGGCAAATCCATACTTCCAGTTGATAACCTTTTTCTGCTAGACTATGAAAGGTGATTTAATAAAGTTTGGCCTAAGTTCAAGGTTCTTTCTGTGTTTTTATATGTGCTGGAAGCTGCCCAGAGTGGCTGGGACAACCCAGTCAGAAGGGCAGGGTGCAAATAATAAATTATTATAATTATTATTATAGAGTTACATTTCAGGCATTAGACATGCTACACTTAGTATACATGAAATAGACTTGGGCATTCCCTATCACCTTCCTAACCACCAAAAATCAATTTTATTTTATTTTTAATGGATTTGTTGTGCTAGGGTGACAGAGCACATTAATTCATTTTAATTAAGTTGGGTGGGGGAAGGGGGTTATTGGTTTGTTGTTGCTGCTGTTGCTGCTGCTGTGTATTTTGTGTTTTTTTATCTTGTATTTTTATTTTGTGAACTACCCTGAGATCTGTGGAGGATAGCTCAGTCCGTAGAGCATGGGACTCTTAATCTCAGCGTCATGGATTCTAGCCCCATATTGGGCAAAATATTCCTGCACTGCAGGGAGTTGGACTAGATTATCCTTGTGGTTTCATCCAGCTGTACAATTCTATGATTCTATAGATGGAGAGTGGTACACAAATTTAATTAACAAGAACAACAACTGTACAAGCCAACATTTCTGGTATGTGCTTGAATCCCCACCACAGAAATAGTGCTATTCTGGATGCATCCAAAAATAAGTAAGCTTTAACAAAATAAATATGCTTCAGCCCCACCTACAGTTGGGGCAGACTAACTACACCTTCAGCAGGTAACACATAGGTAACACTACACCTGCCTCCAGAAGGAAGAATATTGCTGCCCTCACTCCAGTTTTGCCGTCCCCCCCCTCCCCACTGAGCTGGGGGTGATCTGAATGTTGAGAAGCTACTGTCAGCAGACTGGGGAAAAGAGCTCTGGCTTGTGGATTTCCAGTCATAGACCCATCAGAGCAGTACAGGATCACTCACAATTCCTGGAGAAATTTATCTGGGTATAATATACAGCTGAGTGATTGGATAAAACTATGGAATGAAGGTTTAAAATTTATTGCATGTAATGCATTAAAAGAAAATGGGATGACAATGATGTATAGATGGTATATTACACCAGTGAAGTTAGCAAAAATGTATAAAGTTAGTAATAAATGTTGGAAATGCAAGGAAAAAGAGGGAACATTTTATCACATGTGGTGGGAATGTAAAAAGGTGAAATGCTTCTGGGAGATGATATATAACGAGTTGAAACAAATGTTGAAATATACATTTATAAAGAAACCAGAAGCATTTCTCTTGGGTATTGTTGGAAATGATATAAATAGAAAGGAATGTAAGCTTTTTCTATATGCAGTAACAGCAGCAAGAATATTATTGGCCCAAAAATGGAAGCAAGAAGAATTACCAACGATGGAAGAATGGAGGATGAAACTAATGGACTATGCGGAACTTGACAAACTAACAGGAAGGATTCGAAACCGGCGGGACCACAAATTCACCGAAGACTGGAGTAAATTTACTGATTATTTGAAAAGTATTTGTGATGACCAGACGACCTTTGTAGATTTACAAGAAGTTCTGTGAGGAATAAGATAAGAAATATTGTAAAAATGTAGAAGGAGAGATTATATGTTAAAAGATGTAAAGACAATATTAAGTTAGGAAATGCATAAGAAGTGATTAAGACAGAGGATTATCAGAGGTGCTGATGGAAGTCCAATAAGATTGTATTTATGATAAACTGTGTGGTATGTTTTATAATCTTATATGATAAAAACCAATAAAAATGTTTTGGGTTTTTTTTAAAAAAGAAATTTATCTAGTGCACATGTAGTTCAACATGCTCAATAATTCCTCAGATATTTATAAAAAATCAAATGGGCATCTAGATATGCCGAAGGTCTAGGAAATGGCGACTAACAGAAGCAGGCATGGGAAATGCAGCAACGTCTGGGTTCTCCATAGAACTATACCTGAAATAGAGTAGGATTCTGTAGCATTGCACATGCACAATACAATGTTTATATAGCTTTTGCTCCCCAAGATGGTTGCTCAAAAACAATGACCTCTTTGCCTCAAATCTTTTAAACACACAGGCATTTGATGGTTTTCCTATTCAGTCTGTCACTTCTGTATCTTGAGTGCTGGAGGGAATAGCTTCCTGGAATAAAGCCTGGATTTCAATGGTGAAAGCAAACAAAATTATATGCATCAAGAATGAAATGATGTATTAATTGCATTCTACCTACAGCTGACATGGTGCAGCTAAAGAAACATGGAATTATCCTCCTCGGTATTTAGAAAATGCCATTTTAACCTAAAAAGGATCATTATTTAAAATTCACATTGCTGTCTTACATTACCAAATTAAAGAAATTGAATCGTGATGTAATTGTACTGTTTCTTCTATTCGTTGATTACACCCTTCGGTATGTTTCATTTATCCAACTGTTTTATTTCAACATATGTTGTATTTCAACCTTTGGACCAGCATTATTCACTTTTGATATGTAGGATTTTGCTCCCCTTTTCACAACTGGAATAAGCCAATTAGCCTTTGCTGTCCTTTCAGATTAGATATATAAAGTATCTGCTGTGAGCAGCTCATTGCTTTCCTAATAATAATAATAATAATAATAATAATAATAATAAATGTGCTGCATAATGAAGCAATAGTGACCTTGAGTTATCGATCTGCACTATCTTTGTGTGGCAGATGATGGGACCCAGATGCAAAGCACAGTATAACAGAAAATTCATTTTAAGAACTAGTTCTAGTTCATCATGTCAGTTCCAGTTTGTCATTTTACTAAGCAAACTAATTCAAGTTCATCCAAATGAACTGTTTTGTTCACAAAAAGTTCATCATTGGCAAATATTCTTCAGAATTCAGAATGTAACAAATCGCTGCACTGGAGTATACCATTCAAAAGTTTATCAGGGGCCACACATGAGCCAACAGGTGAAAATTTTCCCCATAATTATATTTTCATACAGTCATACCTCATGTTGCGTCTGCTTCAGGTTACGGCTTTTCAAGTTGCGTCCCGCGGCAACCTGGAAGTACCGGAACGGTTACTTCTGGGTTTCACCGCTTGCGCTTGTGCAGAACTGCTAAATCGTGCAGTGCGCATGCGCAGACACGACCCTTCTGGATGCAAACACTTCAAGTTGCAGACGTGCCTCCAGGACGGATTACGTCCGCAGCTCGAGGTCCACTGTACTAGAAAAGTTTTAATCTATTTAATAGAACGGGACACAGGGAATCATTCTCTTTATTCCTTGCATCTATAGTTCGTTCTCTAAGCTGCTATTGTTGGAAAAGAGCATATATTGTCATCAGAGAAGACACAGGAAATATTATTTCCCTCTGATTAAAGGTAAAGGGACCCCTGACCATTAGGTCCAGTCATGACCGACTCTGGGGTTGCGGCGCTCATCTCGCTTTACTGGCCGAGGGAGCCGGCGTACAGCTTCCGGGTCATGTGGCCAGCATGACTAAGCTGCTTCTGGCGAACCAGAGCAGCGCACGGAAACGCCTTCCCGCCTGAGCGGTGCCTATTTATCTACTTGCACTTTGACGTGCTTTCGAACTGCTAGGTTGGCAGGAGCAGGGACCAAGCAACGGGAGCTCACCCCGTCACGGGGATTCGAACCGCTGACCTTCTGATCAGCAAGTCCTAGGCTCTGTGGTTTAACCCACAGTGCCACCCATGTCCCTTTCCCTCTGATTACTTAGCAATAATTATTAAGTGACGAAGCATCCTTCAAAACAGCACCACATCTTTATCTGCCTAATATGCCTTAGAATCTTGCCTCCACAGCTTGCTTTCTAAATTGTAGATGTCAAACTATCTTTCTTTCTTTTTTTAAAAAAAATGAAAGTTAAGAGTCTAGATCTTACATTTGTGGTGGGTGGCTGGAAGGAACGTGAAGAAGAGTTAGAAATCATTCAGATGAACTTAAATCACCTTTAGTTCACCCACTACCCTTTCAGGTATAGTTCTGAAATTCAACTAAACTAGTTAATTGAAAGCACTGGATGGATGAGATAGCCTGATTGCAGTTAGCTTTCTTCTGGAAACTTCTCGTTTGCATTACTGCAATGTATGGTATGCAGGTTGCCTTTGAACATGATCTGGAAACTTCAGTTTGTCCAAAATAGCACTGCAAGATTGTTTTCTGGAACTAGAAGTTTTGATCATATTATACCGGTGCTTTACTCTCTGCTGGTTTCCACTCTGCTTGTCAGCCCAATTCAGACTGAGTGTTCATCTGGAAGGAACCATTAAGGGTTTATCAGCTATGCCATAGCTATAGGATGCTGTTAGATGGAAAGAAAAGCCATAAGATTCAACAAAGAGCCTTTTCCACAACCAGTTGTCTGCACAGTAGAACAGAACATCATGGGAAATGGCATGCACAGAACTCTGCTTGTGTTATGATTTAGCATGCTGGGAATGGATGTTTTCAAGGACCTGCCAAAGATTGATGTACAAGGTATTTCTCATAAGTGGCACCTAGCACACAAGCAACTAGGTATGAAAATGCCAAACCTTCAGCCAGTTCCAATTCTAAAGTTCTTAAATACTCAAGTCCAAAACATATCTACAGATCTGAATGATGAGTTGGCAGCAACTACCACCAGGTTGGAAGGGTGAGGTCAAAGATTGCCTGGATCTATTTACTGATGGGACACGGGTGATGCTGTGGGTTAAACCACAGAGCCTAGGGCTTGCTGATCAGAAGGTTGGCAGTTCGAATCCCCGCGATGGGGTGAGCTCCCGTTGCTCAGTCCCTGCTCCTGTCAGCCTCACAGTTCAAAAGCACATCAAAGCGCAAGTAGATAAATAGGTATCGCTCTAGAGGGAAGGTCAACGGCGTTTCCGTGTGCTGCTCTGGTTCGCCAGAACCGGCTTAGTCATGCTGGCCACATGACCTGGAAGCTGTATGCTGGCTCCCTCAGCCAATAAAGCAAGATGAGCGCCGCAACCCCAGAGTTGTCCGCGACTGGACCTAATGGTCAGGGGTCCCTTTACCTTATTTACTGATGAGCAGCTGTTTTTAGATGTGTTAGATGGGCTGGGAGCAAACACATTCTCTGTGGACCAGTGTGAAGTTGAATATGGTGGTGTATGGATGCAGCCTTGGTTTCCTCTACTGTTTCCTGCAGCCAACAATTGCTCCTTCCAGCAAACAAAATAGCAGTTGCCTGTTATCAAAGCAGAACTGCTGGCATTTCCATCCCAAACCCAGTCCACTTAGGAAATGCTAACTGTAGTGCTTCTGTATCTTTTCAAGTTGAGTTGATATTTTGAGGGTACCTGCAGGTGTCAAAGGATACTTAGATTCAGTGCTTGGTGGGGTGGGGTGGTTACAAACAATAGGATCACACTCCAAGTGAATGTGCACCCAGCTTATCTCAAACAACATTCATGTAGGAACTGCATTTATCTATGCAGTCCTCAATATTCCCAGCTAAGTTGTGCTTCAGGGCAGACCGAGTGAAC